CCCAGCACCACATGCCAGCCAGCCCGCCCCCTGGTGGGCTGAGCTGCCCCCCCCCCACGCACACACACATAAATAAATAAAAATTTAAGAATGACAGTGTTGGGGAGGCTGAAACAGGAGGATGGCTGAGAGTTCCAGGTCAGTCCTGACTACATAGTGAGTTTAAGACCTTCTGAGTTGAAGGAGGAATAGGGGCAACAGCAGGGAGGGCATCGAGGTATGGGAAAGGACTGTGGATTGAGCCAAGGCAGTTCCCATGGGCACAGAAGATGTCAGGGCCAAGTGCATGTGACAGGGGATGGCACAAGGGTGGTCAGGGGCAAAGCCCAAATTTTGGTTTTTAACTTTGAGTCAGAGGTCTCATTAAGTTGCCTGAGCTGGGCTTGAGCTTAGAATCCTCATACCTCAGTCTGCCAGAGCACTGGGGCCACAGGCATAAACCACCATACCTGACTCTATAAGCTCAAGTTTTTGGCTGAACCACTAGAAACTCTTTCAGTGAAAACAGGATTTGAGACACAGAGCGTTTGCCCCAGTGCCTGGTGTGGGCAAACAGCTGTCAGTACCCTAACCACCGCCTCTCCTGTTATCAGCACAGATGCCTATCTGGTGGGGTCTACACCCAGCCTGCAGTCACAGGGCCCCTCCCACCACCCAGCACAAACCCCAGCCCATCAGGAAGCTTGTGGTGGAGGTGGCCCCAGCTCACCGGTTCTTGCCCGTCTCATCCTGAAAGATCTGGTCGCAGTGGGCCATCATGCGCTCTGTGAAGGTGTAGACCTGCAGCCCCGGGTACATCTGCGTGAGCTGCAGCAGCGTGCGGTAGGTGCGGCCGCCCAGCGCGCGGTCCATGTGCCGGCCCTGGCCCCACACCACGTAGAGCGTGTCCCGGGCCTGCTGGAAGTAGTGCGAGTAGTTGCGCAGAAGCAATGGCACGCTCGTGTGCGAGATCACGCGCAGGGTGCTGCGCCGGCCCACGTCCGCCTCGAAGCCCACGGTGGGTGCCTGGTTCATGCGCAGCACGCAGTCGGCACCATCGATCTGGGCGCCCAGGCCAGAACCGAGCATCTGGCCGGAGCTGGACACCACAGCACAGCTGTGGCATGGTTCCCGGACCAGTGGCTGCAGGGCGAGGTATTAAGGGGGAGTTGGGATGTAGTGTCACAGCTCCTGTCCCCGCCACCCCATCACACCCGCTGTGCTTCTTTCTCCATACCTGACATTTGAGCTCCAAGGACTGACCCACTTCACCTCAGGCTGGCCGAGAGGTGACACCCGACAGAGCTCTGACCCCACATTCATACCCAAGGCCCCCTTGTGAGCCACACTCCCTGGGGCTGCTGCTGAACCCTGAAGTCCCTACATCTTGGGCATTCCGCTAGGGTTACAGAAGCAAACACTTTAACTAGGTGTGATGGTTCATGTCCTAGAACTCAGGAGGCTGAGGCAGGAGGATTGTTACAAGT